CATCTGCCCCCCTCCTCCCACCCCCCGCCCTGCGCTCCTCACCGGTCATCCCGCACTGTTCGCTCTGCCTGGGAAGCAAAATTATTTCCGAATTTTGAATGGTTTTGCAGGTAATGGTTTTCGAGCACTGATCATTAATAAAAGGGATTTCCTCCCTAAAAAAAGCGAACTTTAATTTTGAAATAACTATTGGAAAACGTATTCCGAGTACTTTTCTTTAGTCTCTGAGCGGCACTAGCACCAGGAAGGTCTCTCGTCACCTTTCCATCTGGTTCCTCGTACTAGACAGTTGCCTAACGACTGCGAATAAATAGACAACATAAACGCATTTTTTATTAAAAAACCAAACATATTAAGAGGATTATTTCCAAATTCTGAGTTCTTTTGGATGTAATGTGAAACATTACGTGGCTTAATAGCCGCATATAAATGGAAAGCAGTTGCCTAAAACATGTACCCTCAATTTAATTTTGAAATCACTTTGAACTGTTTTCAAAACATTTCCTTTAGCTACGCGTGGTGTTTAAATCAGTGCGAGCTCCGGTTCGCTGCGGATTATTCTCGTTTGGCGCCTCACGATGTCGCCGCGTTCCTAGACGAATGGAAAGAAGTTGCCAGTTATGCACAATTCAATTTCGTAATCATTCCAAACATGCATCGCGAACTATTTCCTTTTATCTTCTCACAGAATAACTCAAAATAAAAGAAGTGACCTCTAACCAAACATTTAATTTACAATCGCCATTGGCTAATTTAGTTGCGACAATGATTTCCGGTTTCTTACAGTGAAAGGTCTTGCAAACGCACGAAAATCCACAGAAACGTGACTGCGCGAGACGCGCCGCGTCCTAAGCATGGGTGAAATGCATTATGAAGGGCGACATTGGCAACCATGTCTAGGAAGCGGCATCTCTCGGATGGTCACGTTTCTATTCACTCCTGCGACGAAACCTTCTTTCAACATGAAGATCCTTTCACCGAATAATTGTGAACAAAAGAAATAAACACAAAAGTATGCAAGTTTTGATTCAGAAATTAAATAGTACTTATTTGGAGATCAAATATTTTCCTCCATCTAAAATATTTAATGGAAAATTAATGTTAATCATTCAAAAATTATTGAAATCGTCTGACGGAGGCAATACAGCCCAACAGTTGATAACAATAAATTAATTGACGCGTCTACTTTTTGGAAACAAACGGTGCCGTTAACCACGATGCATAATTGTTAGTTTTAGAAGTTACCCCCGTTTTCTGCCAATCTCCCTTATCTTTGTGATGTCGGGCAAGTTCATTGTTGCTATGTCGTCTTTACATTACTTTACATTATACCGTCATTGCAGGGCAAGATAGATCACGCCCTAAAGCAAGGTCGGAAATGGAGGGAAATGCACACCAACACGTCTAAGTTTTTAGGCCTGACTAGTTACGTTTCTCCAACTGAGATGCGCCAACGCAAAAGTGCTATTATTGCCTAACTACACACACCTAAATAACATAAACGATTCTATTTGTATATAGACTATTTGTAAGTTGTACATTTTAGCTTATTCCTTTTCTTATATGAATATATATTGTATTATACATTTGTAGGAGGGACTACATGTTGACCATCGTCTTTATACATGAAAGTGACTACTTCGGCGTGGATACTCCTTTCAGTTCACTTCTGTCGGGTCCTTGCGGCTCACCGGGAGCGCTCACTTTGCACGAGAGTCACTTCCGTTTGCTGGTGGAGCCGCGGCCCGTGCGCCCGGAGCTCTTCGCCGAAGCGGTCGTGTAGGTTGCCGGACGGGTCGCCCTCGAGTTGCCTCGAACTCGCGCCCCGCCAGCTCGCAAGTCCGCGTCGGGACCCGCTGCCGCCATTTTGTCCTCTTGGGGGACGTCATGCCTCGCTATGGTGCTATCGCTGCACACACTTCCGGTTCTCACCGCTTCTCACATGGAAAATAACTAAGTTTATTTAATTTAAATTCTTCGACACATTTTACAAACGGCATTACGACATGACGTATGTACATTCAGTTACAATGAGTACAGTCATATACAACATATACAGAGTATGAGGTAAGGGTTGCCTTATATTTTGTTTCAAGATGTTAATTCAAGAGTGATTACCGCGAACAACAACTTATTACAAAAATCCACTTGGGAACCTCAGGAGTGACTGAATTAGGTGGGGGGAAAGAGAATTTCTAAAGTTCGTAGGAAGCAAGCTACAGGAAAGATGAGCGATGTTGCCTCAGAGATTGCAAGTGCCATTTAATGGAGTCTTTAAAGCTGATGGTTCAGTTCCTTCAACATTTTCCTGGCAATACTAATGATAAAGTATTCAGGGCGTAGTAACGTAATCGTTAAAAGCTCTCAATACAGGGGATAATGTAATGTGTTTCAACTTTTAGAGTGCTGCAATTTGATATACTGCCACATTTTACTACTAACGTGCTACATATGATTATCACTGACTTGCCTGTTGTTCGTTCGGGCTATGAAGAGAAAAGTGATTTTAAAATTCAGAGATTTTTTTATCTACTGTAGAACTAAGAAACACGTAGTTTTAAGTAACAAGTAGAATATTCAAAACGTATCTTATCACTTATTTGTTATTGAGAATTTCTTCTTACAACTTTTGAACATTTAAACAAATCTCTACAAATTCTTAGAAATCTTGGACATTGTGAACATGTGAAGAAACACCATACCGAAAAACCGTGATGTGAAATCGCGATGGCAAAGTTTCACTAGTCATGAACATCATGTCAGACACTCATAATTATTGTTCATCGATTCGAAAGTGTGCACCTCCAGCAATTATTTTTATGATAAACACAGATCGTATTATATTTTAATGGCATAATAATTACTAAAAAAAAGTAGTTTTATACTATTATTTTAGTATAAAATAAATAATATATATTATTCATTATTAAATAAACAATTATAAAATAAACAATTATAAAATAACAATAATAATAATAGTATAAATTTTGAATGGAACATTTATTCCGTCTTTCTCAGTTTAGAGTCAAGTAAAATCATATTTTATTCCATTCTGACAAATTTTCTTTTTTTACATTTAAGTGCTATTGAAAGGAAAGAATGACACTATTTTGTGAATTTAATAACATTTTATGAATATGTCTATCATAAATTCACAGGTATTTCCTGTTTTTTGCATAACTACAATTAGTCTATTTGTATCTGCCTCCATCCCAATGAGACACAAACGAAGCGACGTGTTCGCCAAATCAATGCCGGAGCCGCCACGGGCCCAGTCACCCCGGCAGCCGCGCCCGGGGGGCGGAGGCCTCTTAATATTCCAAGGAGCGCCGCTCGGCGCCTGGGGAGAGAAGCTAATGGCGCGGCTGAGCCGGGCTGGGATCGCGGAGCGCGCTCGCGTGCCGCCAGGCCGCGCCTTCGCCGCTCTCGGAGATTACAGGCGGCCGCGCCCCCCGCCCCCGCCCCGCCCCGCTCGGGTGACAGTCCCGTGCTCTCGCTGCAAGTGGAGAAAACCTTCATAGGGGAGACTCGTTTCTTGGTAGATGTAGTGAGTGAACCGGGGTGGTGTTCCTGACAATGTTGAGATTTTGGAGGCAAATTATTTTTTTAATTTTTTTTTTATATCTTATGCACATTTGTAAAGATTTTCAATAGTGATGCCAGTTCCGTAACATGTAGCGTGCTGCGCCGAGCCAGTGGCCTCGAGCCCACCTCGTCCCCACCACTTGAACGAAACTATCGGAAAACGTCGGCTAGGAAAACTTTTAGTTTTGTAATGTTAACAGCCTAGATTGATGTTTTGACCGAGATAAGATTTGAAGCAATGATTCTCTATTGCTCTTTAAAAAGAAGTCCAATTTTTATATTTAATTTTTCAGATTCGTATTTTTATGCCTGTTGCATAACGTCCTCCATGGTTAGGCCACACTGCCTATGAGACAAACCTGGAGCGCGCGCTGCAAATGGAAAACAATCGTCGGATAGCCCAGTGAATGTTTATATATTTCATTACCTTAGATTGATATTTTATACAAATATGAGATTTGGACAATGAATGTTATTTTGATTCAAACTGGACATGGAAGTACGTAGATGCATATTATTGCTTTTAAATTAGTTGGTGTTCTGTTGATATATTACAAGAGATTTTAATAATGATAAGAAATTGCATGAGGCCCGCTGACTTTTCTCAACGTTTATGAGCCTGTAATTTTTTGTAAACCAATGATTAATAATACGCATTTCGGTTATTATTTTTTTCTTAACAGTTTTTAATATTTAATCTTGATACTATTGATAGTTGCTTGATATTATTCTTTGTTTATGATTAATTGCTTTGATGGATAGATAAATACTTGGATAGATGGATACATTGCAGAGTACCTTTACCTATTTTTTCGCATTTAAATCTCTATCGTTCTAAGAGATTTGCCTATCCAGCGAAATAGCTTCGACGATGTTAAAATTAGATAAAAAATATTGCGTAAGCAATATGGGTCATAATCTTAGAGCTAAATCTAGAAACTAGAGCATGTACTCTTCTTTATACCAAATATTGTTTGCTACAATAATTATTTTGCGTATCAACTTAAAAAATATTCTGATTTAGTAAAAATTAAAATATATTCTTTGTGATACATTTTCTCTTTATATGAAGAATTGTAGTCTCCTCTCTTCCAAAGAAATTGATTGCATCTGCATCGCAGTGGATGGGATTAACGGAGGCTCCGGCTTTAATGAGGCCGCTCACGAAACTGACATTGGATCACAGCTGCGTTCATTGTGAGAGGCCCCGTTTTAGAGGGGCTGAAGTAATGATAAATTGCTTTGAGATGATATAGAAGTTCTTTGACTAATTTTCGTGAATAATATTACAATATTTTGTAATATCTTTTTAACGTTTAGAAACAGTTATAAAAGAAAACTTAAATAAATTGGAACAAATTAAATACTTTGTTCATCTTTTTGTTTGATTTATAAATGCAAGTCTTTTTTTGGAAAATTGAGGTGTATTAAGGTTATCGAGGTTATAATAGATGGTGTGCTCAATACAGGATATTTATCCTTGTTAATTTGAAATTAACTTCACGAAAATGGAGAATAACATTTTACTATAAAGTTTTTCAGATATTGTGAGTAAAGTAATGTACATTCGGCCTGTTAATAACATTTACAAGAAATGTCTCCTGTGCACTCATTACATTTTAATATAATACGTCACTTTTAACAAGAACTTCCCAAGTAAATAATATTTTAGAGGACTGAAGAAAAGTATGTCTGGGCTAGAGCCAACTGACCTAGTTGGCACGTCCTTTCCTTTTCGTCGCGTGTGCATCCCTCGTCATTACATCGTTTTCGACGGTGATCCATGAACGAACTAGGGTAAACGGAATTGATTTACTCATTGAATGGAGTTTCAAGATACGTAATCTTTGGCTGAGGATGTTTATTTCTAGGCTTCTCACGGTGGTGAACAGATGTCACAACGCTATCGTTGTTTTTTTTCAGACGTGAATGCATGGCTTTAAACATTCGAAGTGGGATGAACGGGCTATTGTGCGAACGGGTGGGCAATATTTACAACGTTGATCAGTATTTCAAAACGGAGAGGAGTAAGATAATTCTGCCAAATGACTCATGGTTGATATCCACCATGTGTATGTAAAATACCAGGAACTATTGATTACGTAAACCTTCCGCTGTCAGGGAAGATTGACAGAAACTAATATTTTCGTCCAGGCCTGCACTAATATTTTACAGTTATAATTTCAATCGTTCGTCGTGCTAGTCAGAGATTTTCACTGTGATTACTCTAACATCCTCAGTTTTTAAGGACAATAACCAACGTATCGTTATTCATTACAAATTACCAATTAGTACATAAGGATTATCTATCTCGAACCTATATTACAATACATACATGCTTATCGGCTAACTTATATATTAGTTTACTCCAAATCCTCACCTGAACACACTTCCAACTCCATTATAACCCTAACTACACTACCGGAATCAAATATAAGTTTTCGTTCCATGAAATCCTGAGAAAGTTTGATCTTGATTGATTAGAAGTACTATCAGAGTTTTATCAACAGTTGTATTGTAATTGCGTTTAGAATTGCAAGTTAGCGCGTAAGTCAACAGAAACTGAACTGACTTAGTGTTCTTCTTCTTCATTTTATGGATTAGGCTCGAGCCTGTTCCGTTTCCTTCTGTCGTTTTTAGGTCTGCTCACGTCTCTTCTTCCATATTGATGATAGATAAAATCTAAATTGGGTGCTCTTGAATTATCCATTGTAATATTTGTGTACATCGATACCACTTGTTTCTTTAATTAGTTATTTTGCTTCCAATTCATTTGGCATGCTGTTTTCCCTTATCGTTTCGTTTCGAATGTGATCTTTCGTGCAGCCTAAAGTTCTCCTCTGGAACTTCATTTCAGCGACCTTTATCTACGTAGATTTATTTTTATTAAAGCTGACAAACAAAAAATGGGAAGAGCCATGGTCTCATAAGACTTTATTTTTGTATTTTGATTTGTCTTCTTCTTGAGTGCATTATGCATAATACCACATATTCTTTGTAATCTTGCCAATGTTGTATTGTTGAATTTATTGGTATTTTGTTCAATTTAATAACTTAAATATCAGAAAGTGAACACTTGCTATAAAATTACTGTACGAAAAAGTACCATTTAAGTGGAATAATGCATAATGTTCATCTTCTGTTTTCTGAATGGTAAAGCGTTGTCTGCCTAGAGTAAAAAAAACATTTTCTTTTGATATCTTAATACATGTTATAGATTATTTACCTACAATTTTGAATAATATCAATGCAAATATTAAAAAGTGAGGTGAGTCTGGGTTTTATGGTCGCACTCCCTCAATTTGCATTACAATAGCAGATTTTTATGTAAACGCTTTATTGTTTCTCTTACTCTTTGGTTTGCAATGAAAGATTGTTATCTTAAAATTTGGTTACATGTACATTAATGAAGGCTTTATCAAATTACACTTTTGAACTGCATTCACATCAACGAGGACATGGCAATACATTTAAAAAAATCAAAAGTTTTACTGAACAGCTTGTGCAAGGTTAAATCAATGGTAAAAATCGCCCAACCACTTTCTTCTAGTTTAAAAAACCTTACCAAATCAAAATATTTAAATCGTATCTCAGTATACTTTTTTTTCTGAAAATGAAATGACACATTTTTTGAAAAGAGAAAGGGAATATAGAATTACAAATACACACACACATATTTATATACTGCTTCGACTCTCTTGTATGTAGTAAAAAACGCCCTCAGGCAAAAGAGCTTCGTTTCGGGGAGTTTGAAAATGCTTTGCTAATTTACTTTCAGAGAACATCATCAATCGAGTAGTTTCCACTCTGAATTCTCCCGATCTCTACATATTTGTTTCACAAGATATATTTTTACGTGTTGTGCGTTTTGCATCGGTTTGTTAGGTCCAATGATGCAAGTGTACCCACTTCTGCTCAGCCGACATACTAATGGTTTGCACAATCAAACAAATATTGACCCTTCGAGGCCCCACTTCTAAGAGACCTTGGCAGTGAGCCCGTGCTCCATAAACAACCTGGTTCATCTCTTGACCTTGCCCGTCAGGGTCGGTAAACTATTTGAAAAATACTTAAACAACATGTATACGCCCCATGTGGGCGAATGATTATTTGATATTTTCGTGTAGTAT